CTATTCCATGGGCCTAGACCTGGAGCTGCAGCTCCATCAGCCCCTATGTTAATCCGGCCCTGGGGGAGCCGTAAATATAATGTGGATATGAAGCAATTTTATATTCCTGTCTGGCGTGTCCTTTTGGTTACTCCAGATCCTGCTGACCCTGACGTTCTTCTGTTAACCAGTAATTTCTCTCTTCTTTTCAGAGTTGGATTTCTCCTCAACCAATGATTTGGCTGAGCTTTTGGTAAATAAACACTGTTTTATCAAATATACATTACCTGTGATTATTAATCTTTTTTTTTTGTAAATTCTTTATTTTGGTGGTTTTTCAGTTTTTCAAAGAAGTTGGGGTACAGAATGAAGATAAGGGGTTGGCTAGCAAACATTGCAGTTACATTGGAGTGTAATAGCTTAGTACACTGTAGGTTACACAACTTATTTACAGCCATTGTACTTTTGTTCATTTTAGGACCAGAGTGGTCTGCATCTCAGATTTTTACCCTCTTCTTGCTTAGAGAGGTTCTTTTGAATGTGTTGTTGTATGTCCTAGTTTGTGGAGTCGGAGTGGCTTTTGTAGCGTCTATGTCTCCTAGGGTGTGTGAATTTTGTGGTTTGTAGGGTGTACTTTTGTCGGTGTCGTGTGCCTGTGTTTCGTGGGGTGGCAATAGGGGGTTTCCGTTTATCCGTTGTGTGGCCCTTCGTCCTCTCTGGTCTTTGTCTGTACGTGCTGTGGGTTAGGTGCTTTTTGATGTCTCAGGTTTTTGTCTTGTCTTCGTTTTTTGCTATGGGGGTTTTGGTGTTTGCTCTTGAAGGTGAGTCTGGGTTGGCTTAGGGTTCTAGGTCATGTAGTTGAGATGCGGTGAGTTTCACGGTATGCTGATGCGGTGTCTTATTGAGCTTGGGTGGTCGTTCATATGGCCTGGTATGTGGGGGTGGGCTGGGAGGGAAGGGGGATATTGATGGGGTGGAGGGAGTAAGCTGGGGTAGGTGTCAGGGCTGTTTGCTATTTTTTGGGGATGTAAGTTCAGTTGGGGGGGACGTTCATAGTCTTCCGTTCCTCCTTTTAGTTAAGTGGTAGGGGGTGTTGGGTCCATGGGTCCCATATCTTATGGTAGTGTTGTGTCGTGTCGTGTAGCAGTGCCAACAGTTTGTCCATTTCCATGGCTTCATTCATTTTCCTGATCATAGTGGTTAATTGGGGTGTAGTTTGGTTGCCCCACTGTTCCGCTATCGTGTGTCTGGTTGCTAGTGCCATTCTTGCTATCAGTTTGTTTTGGGCTCTCATAAGGGTGGTGTGTGGTTTGGAGAGTAGCCACACCCAGGGGTCCCTGGGAATGTCCACATCAAGTATGTTAGATGCTAGTGTGGTGCTTTTTCCCATATTTGTGAGGTCTGTGGGCATTCCCACCAAAGGTGGATGTAGGTGCCCTTTTGCCCACAGCCCTTCCAGCATGAGTCCGTGATTGCCTGGCCTATTTGTTTCATTCTCAGGGGGGTGAGGTACCACCTGAGTAGAGTCTTGTATGCCTGCTCCTTGTGATTCACACATATGGTGAGTGAGGCCATAGCCTCCCATATGTCCGACCAATCTGATGGGTCCTCTTGGGGGCCTATGTCTCTTTCTCACGCCTTTGTGTATGAGAGGGTGTCTTCTGGGGAGTTGGCTTTAGGAGGAGGTATATGGTAGAGATTTGTCTCTTTTGTATGGGTGCGTATAGGCATGTTTTTTCAAATTGGGTTAGCTCAGCGGTGGCAGCTGCCTTGTTGTGTGGTTCAGTGAGGAAGCTGCGTATCTGGAGGTATCGAAAGTGGTCAAATGTGTTTAGTGGGGTCTGTCTGGGCAGGTCTTGGAATGGTTGGAATTGTTGGCATTGGAAGAAGTGGAGGAATCTGTATAGCCCATTGTCCTCATATCTTGCGAAGTCTCGAGGCGATAGGCCTGGGGGAAATTGATTGTTTCTCAGAATGGGTGTGAGAGGTGATGGTTTGTTAACTATGGGGTTCTTAGAGATTGGGGTGTCCCAGATGTGAAAGGATGTTGTTAGGGCGGGTGGTGGTTTGCGAAGTTGGTGGTCTGTCTTTCTTGGGCACCCAAAAGAGTAGTGAGTCTTGGTCTCGTCCCAGGAGGTCATGTTCCAGGTCCACCCATAGCTTGAGCCCCGGTTGTGCATGTAGGTTCTGTATCTGGGCTAGTTGGGCCGCCTGGTAGTAGTGTTAAAAGTTTGGGAGGCCCTGGCCTCCGGTTCTGTTGGTTTTATACATTGTGGCTCTTTTGATACGTGGCCTTTTATTGGACCAAATTAATTTGTCTATGTTAGTTTGAAGTGTTTTGAAGTCATGTTTTGATATGGGTATGGGTAGAATTTGAAATAAATATAGGAATTGTGGGAGTAGGTTCATTTTTATGGAGGCTATTCGCCCCAGCCATGATATGTACATGGGGCCCAATTTTTGTAGGTCTAGGTGTGCTTGACGGAGTAGTGGGGTGTAGTTCAGGGCGTAGGTTTTGTTGAGGTCTGCGGGGAGGTGTGTTCCTAGGTAGTGAATGCTTTGCGAGTTGTATCTAAATGGGTGGGTTAATTTTATGTGTTCGAGAGTTGGCTGCGGTATCCCTATTGGGAGGGCTTCCGTTTTTTCTAGGTTTAGTTTGTATCCCGATAGGGTTGCGTATTTTTGTAGAAGTGTCAGTAAGGGTGGGAGGGATTGAGTAGGGCACGTGATCGTGAGTAAGATATCGTCCGCATAGGCTGCTATTTTATATTCTTCATTCCTGACCTTGATACCTTGGATTTCTTGTTCCCTACATATGTTTTGGACGAGGGGTTCAAGTGATAAAGCGAATAGGAGTGGGGAGAGCGGGCAGCCCTGTCTCGTCCCATTTTTAATTGTGAATTCTGGGTATTTGGCGTTTGGTATGAGGAGTGTGGCCATTGGTTGGGTATATAGGGTCTGTAAGGCTTGAAGGATGGGTGATGGGAATTTGAATCTTTGGAGGGTGGCGAATAGGAATGGCCATAGTAGGCGATCAAAGGCCTTTTCCGCGTCCATTGATAAAAGAAGGGTTGGGATTTTCCTACTTTGGGCTACCCATATTAGATCTATGATGCGTCTTGTGTTATCCCCTGCCTGTCTCGTGGGTATGAAGCCCACCTGGTAAGGATGTATTAGCTTTGGGAGGAGGGGTTGTATTCGGTTAGCTAAAGTTTTTGTGATTATCTTTGTGTCCACGTTGAGTAGCGATATGGGTCGGTAGTGACCTGGGTCGAGTTGTGTTTTGTCGGGTTTTGGTATAAGGCAGATGTTTGTTCTGAGCATCTCCTTTAGTAGTGAGTTCCCTAGAGCTGTGAGATGGGGTATGAGAGCATTTGCGTATGTCTTATAGTATAGGCCTGTGAAGCCGTCTGGTCCGGGGCATTTGTTGGGTTTGATTGTTTTTAATGTATTGGCGATTTCTTCTGTCGTGAAAGGGGCTGACAGCATTGCTATTGCGGTGTCCATTAGGGATGTTTTGAAGGTATAGTTCAATGTCTTGTTTTAGGGTTGGAGAGGGGTCCGGATTGTGGTCATAGGAGTGATCTAAAGTTGTTGGAGAATATCGATGCTATGTGGCTGGGGTCTTTGTGAGTGTTACCCCCCGGGATTTTATTTCAGTAATTCGTTTAGTTTGTGTTTTTTGGCAGATTTTGTGGGCTAGGAGGATGTCTGCCTTATTTGATTTCTCATAAAAGAGTTGTTTACTCCATTGGAGAGCTTTTAGTGAGTCTTTGATCATATATGATTTGATGGCCTGTTGGTGGGTTTTTATTTGGGCTGATAGTGTTGGGGTGGGGTGTCGCTTATGTTGAGCATCTAGGGTCCTAAGAGTAAGTATATGGTCCTCGAGTTCCTTTAGTTTTAGTTTTTTGTGTCTTGTGGCTTCTGCAATTAGTTTGCCTCTTATGACGGCTTTGTGAGCCGCCCAGAGTGTTCCTGAGTCTTTGTTTATATCAAAGTATTCTTTAAGTGCGTTTTGTATTTTTTGTTTTATCTCAGGTTTGTGCAGTAAGGTGGGGTTTAGATGCCACGACCACGATATTGCTGTCTGTGGGATTGATAGTGTGAGGGATATCTCTGCGTCGTCAGACCACGTGATTGTGCCTATCGTTGTCGTGATATCTTGGGTGAGGAATGAGGGGGAGACCAGAAACGGGTCGATCCTTGATTAGGAAAGATGGGGGTTGGAGTAGAAGGTAAAGTCTGCTAATGTAGGATTTTGTATCCTCCAGATGTCATGGAGGCCTGATTGGAGTATAAAGGTCGAGAGTAGTTTATCATTGGCTGTCGTTTGGGAATTGTTGTGGTAGGTTGTGGATGGCGTTTTTGGTCCTGTTGGGGTGCTGGGACTGCACTGAAGTCCCCTCCGTGGATCATGTGGTGGGAGGGGAATAGCTTTAGGTGTGCCCGTAAGGCTGACCAGAAGGGTGGGTCTGGGGTAGTGGGAGCGGAGATAGTCGTTAGTGCGTATTTGTGTGTTCCATGGTGGCCCGCTATTGTTAGGAATCTGCCCTGGGGGTCAGTGATGGTTTGTTTAAAGCTAATGGGGCATGTATTGTGAATTAGTATTGCTACTCTGTTTCTTTTTCCGTTTGGGGAGTTTGCAAGGTGGTATTGCTTGTAGTGTCTGTTTTTAAGTGGGAACGGTCTTGCTGCATCAAAATTAGTTTCTTGGAGGAATATTATGTCAGCCCCTGTTCTGTTGGCCCATCGCATTAATTGATTGTTTAAGCCCTTGCAGTTAAGGGAGATGCAGCTCAGTTTTCCCATCTCTGGTGGTCTGTAAGGGTGAGGGGGTGGGTTTGGTGGTGAAGGGCTTGGGGTTGGAGTTTCCCCTTCTAGGTGCGCGGGTGGTTGGTTTGTTGGGAGGGTGGGGGTAGTAAAGTGTGGGGGGGGGTGTGGGTATTTACCCTGGTCTTACTGTGAGCTTGCCAGGTGTGGCTGGGGGTTGTGTGTGGTGCCTTTTAAGATTAAGGTGTGTGGGTTGTTTCCCTCGTGGGGAGAGTGTGGTTTAGGTGAAGGAGAGAAAAGGAAGGTTTTTCACATCTCTGTTTCTCCCCCCTCCCTGTGCACTGGATGTGGTGTGTCACTCACAGTGTTTGTCGGTCGAGTAATCGTTGTCTGTGTCTCTTGGTAGGTGGCTCTTGGGTTTGCGGTCTGAGGTTCGGTGGTCTGATGAGTGTTCCCTGTGGGCTGGTGTTGGTGAGTGGTGTATATCCTTTGAAGGGGATTCATCTGGAAGAAACAATTCAACATATATACATATACATAAACATTTCTAATATGTGGGGGTTGCGCCCATTCCTGGGCCTTTAGCGTCCCTTTGGGTCTATTAATTCAGTCAGTTATGCTGCCAGTTATATACATATTTCTATACATTTCTTTCTTGCGCCCTTCATGTTTCCTGTTACCGGTTGCAGGTGTTTTTTTGTTTGCCTGTTTACCTGCCATGTCTTTCTCTCTCCCTCCCCCTTTCAGTTTGTGCTTTCTCCTCCTGTCACTGTACTATTTACGGTGTGGGGTCTAGGGGTATGTGGAGTCCTGTGTGTCTTTGTCTTCCCTCCCCTCCTCCCCTCTCTCCCTCTTTCTCTGCTTTCTGTTTGTAGTTTTCTTTTTGGGATTCTTCCAGGTCTCGTGGGGTGTAGTGTTTGCAGTTTTTTGCAGAGTTTGGGGTAGTCTGATCTGTAGGTGTTTGTCCGGTTGGGTAGCTATGGTCATGTCTTTGGTGTGGGGATCTGGGGCGCTCCGCCTTCTGTGTGGCAGGGTCCCCGTTTGGTTCGTCTCCCCCTCCCTATTGAATGTTTGTTGCTCTCCCTCCGCCTCCCTCCGCCACCCCACCCAATCCCACCCCCCCAGTTCTGATTGTCCAGGTACATTACATGCTGTCCAGTTAAGGAATCTGTCAGTTCCCCTCTGATGGGGCTGTATTGTCCTGCTCCCTGCAGTTATTGTGGTCAGGCTGGAGTTTTCTTTCTGCTTGGCCAGACATGTTGGGTCCCGGGGTTTCTGTCTTGCTTGGTATGCTAGATTCTCCCATTTTCTTCTAATATTACAAGGGTGGAGCTTGTAGGTCAGTAATAACCCCCCTCACCCCCCCCGCAAGTATGTCAGGTGTCCCTGTGGCAGATTGATATTGTTTTCCATGGGAGCTGATGTTTGGTCGTATTCGGTTTGTCGGGGAGCTGCGGCTGGAGAGTTTGACAGGCGACGGAGGTAGTCAAGGGCGTCCGGTGAGCACTCGAGGGGCTGGTGGGGGGTCTCTTTATGTTCTTCAGGGGCGAGTTTAGTTGTAGGGTGCTGGCTTTTGCATTTTGTGGGGTTGGTATATTTTTGTTCTGTATTTACAGATGAAAATTAAGGAAAGGGACCTCAGTTGAGAAAATGGATAAATGAGTCATTTATTACACGTGAGTTTACAGAGGAAGAGGTTCTATTTCAACTGTCAAAAGTAAAGACAAATAAGTCAATGGGACCTGATGGAATACACCCAAAGCTATTAAAAAGAGCTTAGTGGTGTACTAACAAAACCATTAACAGATTTATTTAACCAATCATTGTTAACAGGAGTAGTCCCAGAAGATTGGAAGTTAGCGAATATTGTGCCCATTTACAAGAAAGGTAATAGGGAGGAGTCGGGCAACTATAAGCCAGTAAGCCTTACTTCAGTAGTGGGGAAAGTGATGGAAACCATGTTAAAGGATAGGATTGTTAAAAGTTTTGTCAAATCTAAAAACACATGGATTTCAAGATCAGAGACAACATAGGTTTACTTCAGGGAGATAATGCCAAACTAATCTTATTGATTTTTTTGATTGGGTAACTAAAATTATAGATCAGGGTGGTGCAGTAGACATTGCTTACCTAGATTTCAGTAAGGCTTTTGACACTGTTGCACATAGAAGGCTTATCAATAAACTGCAATCTTTAAGTTTGGATTCCAATATTGTTGAATGGGTAAGGCAGTGGCTGAGTGACAGGCAACAGAGGGTTGTAGTTAATGGAATATATTCGAAGCTTGGACTTGTCACCAGTGGGGTACCTCAGGGATCTGTACTTGGACCCATTCTCTTTAATATTTTTATTAGTGATATTGCAGAAGGTCTTGATGGTAAGGTATGTCTTTTTGCTGATGATACTAAGATATGTAACAGGGTTGATGTTCCAGGAGGGATAAGCCACATGGCAAATGATTTAGGTAAACTAGAAAAATGGTTAGAATTGTGGCAACTGACATTTAATGTGAATAAGTGCAAGATAATGCATCTTGGACGTAAAAACCCAAGGGCAGAGTACAGAATATTTGATAGAGTCCTAACCTCAACATATGAGGAAAGAGATTTAGAGGTGATTATTTTTGATGACTTAAAGGTAGGCAGACAATGTAATAGAGCAGCAGGAAATGCTAGCAGAATGCTTGGTTGTATAGGGAGAGGTATTAGCAGTAGAAAGAGGGAAGTGCTCATGCCATTGTACAGAACACTGGTGAGACCTCACTTGGAGTATTGTACACAGTACTGGAGACCGTATCTTCAGAAGGATATTGATACCTTAGAGAGGGTTCAGAGAAGGGCTACTAAACTGGTTCATGGATTGCGGGATAAAACTTACCAGGAAAGGTTAAAGGATCTTAACATGTATAGCTTGGAGGAAAGACGAGACAGGGGGGATATGATAGAAACATTTAAATATATAAAGGGAATCAACACAGTAAAGGAGGAGACTATATTTAAAAGAAGAAAAACTACCACAACAAGAGGACATAGTCTTAAATTAGAGGGACAAAGGTTTAAAATAATATCAGGAAGTATTACTTTACTGAGAGGGTAGTGGATGCATGGAATAGCCTTCCAGCTGAAGTGGTAGAGGTTAACACAGTAAAGGAGTTTAAGCATGCGTGGGATAGGCATAAAGCTATCCTAACTATAAGATTAGGCCAGGGGCTAATGAAAGTTTTTTAGAAAATTGGGCAGACTAGATGGGCTGCCATCACATTCTATGTTTCTATGTAGATGTGCATTAAATATGCTGGAATTCTGTTCGGTGTAAGGGAGGCCTTTTTAGTTTTGTCTTTGAGGTGGTGGTAGTTCCTCTTCCCCTGTAATTGTAATTCCCCTGTAGTCTCTTCCCCTGTAATTGGATAGGGGTGTGGGGTTCAGTAGTTGTATGCCCAGGGAGTCCGCCATAGGGCCCATTTCGGCAGCAGAGGTGAGGATGTGGGTTTGGTCATCTTTTCTAATAAGAAGTTTGAAGGGGTGTCCCCAAGTATATTTGATGCCTTTTTCCTGCAGGGCCAGTGTGAGTGGTTTTAAGTCTCGCCTCTTTTTTAAAGTAGTAGGGGCTAGATCTTGGAAGAATGTTAAATGGGCATCAGCATATTTTGGTGGGTGGTTTCTGGCCATTTGCATGATTTTCTCTTTTGTTTGGAAGTAGTGCAGGCATATTATAACATCTCTGGGGGTGGATATGTTCAAGGTGGGGGGGCGCAAGGCCCTATGAGCCCTGTCCATTTCCAGTAGTGGTGTTGGTAATTCTGGGGCCATTTTTGCAAAGATGCCTTTTAGGGATTCTGGTGGTATTGATTCCGGTAGGCCCCGGATCTGTATATTATTCTACGTGACCTGTTATTGAGGTCTTCTAAGGAGTCCTCCATTGCGGTGAGGCGGCCATGTAGGTAAGAGATCTCTTGGGATTGTGCAGTTGAGGCTATCGCCAGGGTGGTTAGACGTCCATCTTCCTCCGAGGTTATGCTCCGCCCCGATTATTACTCTTTTTAATCTATTTAATTTTTGTTTGCCAATCAAATTTACCTAATTTACTTACAATCCATCAGTTAAATCAATCCTAGTTACCTACACAACAACACTTTTAAGAAAACAAATATAATTTGTGCAATTAAAGATACAGGAAAGCGGTGGGACTCCAAACATAGATGGACTATAGGTAAGGCTAAAAAGCATAAACAAGTAAACTGGATTCATGAATTCAACAGCTAAGAACAATATGGATTGAATACCAGTTTTACTACATGATAGGAGTCTTCATATTTGTTTAATCATTTATTTCCTGTACTTTGACAGCAGCAAAGAGACTTAGCAACAAAGAACCAATCAAAAAAGAGAGATGTATGACATAGAAGGTGCTGCAACAATGGTCAACACCTCTTTCATTGTTTCTCAGCCTACCATTCATTCTTGTTTATTTTTTTGTTTCTATTTTGAGGATTGATTGATTTTATCTATGTGGTACATGTATGTTATTGGTTCTTATAGGTGGTGTATTTTATTTTTTATATCTTGTCTCTTGTTTTTGGCATTTTGCCATACTTTCTCATTCTTTAAATCCATCTATTTAGTCAGTCGTTTGTTCTCTTTACCTGTCTTCCTGACTCCTTCAGGATGTTAGGGTTTGTCCCTGGCAGTTCTTTGACCTCCAGTCGGGACTTCTCCCCTGAGAATACTCCCCTGACGGTGTTCACTTGTGAAGAGTTATCTGTTGTTCCAGTTCACAGTGGTCATTTTGGATCTTGTGAGTCATAATACTCACATCCTTCATCTTTTCCCTTTGTGGTTTTGCGTGTTTTTCAAGTACATTTAGGTTATGTTTCCAAGTAACATAACCATTATAGTTTACCATAGTAGTTATGGTCCAGAGACTCTTTAGGTACAGCCCTTTCATCTTTTTTGTGTCAAAGTGTTTCAAACAGTTTATAAAATGGAGGATTCCCTGGCATCAATAGCCCCTGCTTCAGCGTGGGACATCATATGAAGACGTAGTAGCAGATAGATATTCAGGCCCACAAACTGTCGGGAATCTGAGTTTATTCCCTCATTGTTAAAGTGAAGTTTTTTTCATAAATGCCTCATACAAGCTCTTGTATGAGCTGTAATATTGCTTTAACACTGTGGAAATAAAACCAGTTTCACAACAGTCTGTGTGCCTGACCATCTCAGCTTCTAATATAATGGTTATCGACCACTCCAATTGTGGGGCACCTGGTCTGTGCAATGCTACATTTACCACATTGAGTCACATTACTCATTATGAATCTATAACGCTTGCACGGGTAGACAGTAATCACTTATGCTAAATACCATTAACCCTTATGGCTCCACAGACGTTGGTCACAACTCAAGTTGGCAGCCCAGAAAGCATTAACTAACAGCACAAAGATTTTGGGTGCATCATATAGAATATTATATAATAAAATACACACGAAGGCATCATGTTAGATTACAATGATTTGTAATGTCACTGCAATTAAAACAAAACTATTTGTGAAATCTACTCGTTGTGATACATTTGTTCCACTTAAGAACTTTTTCTTCTCCTGACATTATTCAGAAAACAAAGAGGGCATGACATTTTTTTTAATTATTACACTGTTTTTAACAAAGCCATTAACACAGGTGCTATTCTTCTTTAATATGGCTATGTCTGGCTATGCGAAAATAAAATTAGGTTGTTAGCAGAAAATGATTACACTCCACTTTCAGATTTTGCTGGCAGGTTCTTAAATTCCCTCCTCCACTTTCATTTAACTTCGGTCACCATTGTGATAATTTATGCTAGAACACTGAGGCTACTAACAGACAAATTGGAAATATGAATCTGAGCTGT